CTTGCTGGTTTTGGTCAATTCGGGCCCACGGGCAGTTCCGGCGAATGAGTTTCTCGGCAATTGGCAGTAGAGATGGCTGGGATATGGATGGTAGACGATGGGGAAATTAAAGTTGTAATTGTGGGCTTTCTTTTGTAAATTGGATAAGGCATAGGTGCAACGTTGTCACCATCTGAACCTCCATCCTCAAAGCCAACAGAAGAGACGATGACGGGGCAGATCTATTCCGAAGTTACAACCGGGATGTGCAGAGACGAAAGACTTTCCAGATGTTGTGTTTTAATTTGTGGGGCTATTTTTTGAGAATTAGAAAAATATGAGGGATCTATTTGCAATTTTGTAAGTTTGATATGTTTTACATGTAATTGGGATTTTGAGTTTTTAATGTAAAAAATGATAATTGAACCCAAATTTTAAAATTTGAAATAAAAATTGTGGTTTCGACTTAATCGGTTTAATTTTTTGTTAACATAAATAATCTAAATAATTGACATAAATTATATTATTTAAAAAAAGTAAAAATATTTAATATTATTTTTATTTGCTATTTACATTATTTTTTAATTAAAAAATTGTATATATATAAACAAAATCTATGGTGCAATTCGTACAGTACTATGGTGCACGGCATTGGTCTGTAATGTGCGGATTGAACTCATCTTTTGTCCTAAAGCAAATTGAAAATGAACACAATTATTTGATTTATTATGTTCGATTAACGAAACTTTCTTTTATATTAAAATTATATTTATGTTAATAATGTTATTTATTATTTATATTTTTTTTGGGTGAAAAAATTTGCTTTTTGGCCGGTTTTGACGTTTATTGTGCAATCTGATAGTCATGATAAAGTGCAATATATTGTTTTATAAAGTGCAACATATTGATGTATAAAGTGCAATATGTTGATGTATAAATTGTACTACTTAATTTTGGTACATTAGAATTCTCGTGTTTATGTGTATAAGTGATATTGTTGTTGTTAAAGTATGACGTATACATGTTTCTTAGATTTATGTTGTGTGGTATTTTAGAGGGAACCGTGGACGTTAATTGTGGAGCGTATTGATAAAGTGCAACGTGTTTTTTATAAAATGCAGTGTAATGTTATATAAAGTGCAACATATGGATATATAAAGTACACTACTTTATATGAACACATAAAATATATGATTTTTAAATATTATAAAAGTATATTTATTATTGTAATATTTTTTATATATTAAAATTTTACATGTTAAAAGTTTATCAACTTTTTAAACTACAAAAATATATTTAATATTTGTGATTTTGTTATTTAATATGTTATATTCGTTTAAAAACAATAATGTGCACTTGTAGACATTCAGTCGGTCAACCGAATTAATATAAACCTTCTTAATGAATTATTATGCATATTATGAAAACATATCTTATATTAATATTGTCTGTTAGTATTGTGCAGATCGAACCAACTGGACTTTTGTCCAAAAACAAGTTTAAACTTAACATAATCAATTGGTTTAATTGGTTCGGTTAACTAGATTATCATGAATAATCAAAATAATTTGTTATTTATATTAAAAATATATTTAATATGTTAATATTTATATTTATTATTTCTATATTAGTTTTGATTGAAAAAAAATTTGAGTTCGGTCGGGTTTAATATGCATTGTGTGATCTGATAATATTATAAAGTGCATTGCGTTGTTTTATAAAGTGCAACATGATATTTTATAAAGTGCAACGTGATGGTATATAAAATAATCGGTATATATGTAAAGGAAATATATAGTGTAATCTAACAGTTTAAGGTGCAAGTCATCGAACAACATGGTGCACGATGTCGTGTTGTATTGTGCATATTGAACCAACTGAACTTTTGTCCCAAAGCAAGTTGAAACTTAACATAATTAATTGGTCTAATCGATTTGGTTAATTGAAATATCATAAATAACGAAATGATTGATTATTCATATTAAAATTATATTTAATACGTTAATATTTTTATTTATTATTTGATATTAGTTTTAGTTGATAAAAAAAAATGAGTTCGGTCGGGTTTAATATGTATTGTGTGATGTGATAATATTATAAAGTGCATTGTGTTGTTTTATAAAGTGCAACTTTTTATTTTATAAAGTGCAACGTGATGGTATGTAAAGTGCGTTATTGTAATTTTGGTACTCTAGCATGCTTGCTTTTTTTTTTTTTT